AACGTATGTTAACGGAATAGTTTCGAGCACTCTGCTCGCGATGTACCTGATGTTTGTTCACTTCCTAAGTGTGACCTCTTCGAGAAAAATGCGGTGTCTTTAAGTCTGGAACTACTGATGTGGTGGCCAATTGAGTAGGAGCAGGGAGTGGTGCTTTTTTGTGATATGCCAAGCGAATGGTCCACTGCGGCATTCCTGTGATGTGCTCCAGTAGTACATTAGTCAGTCAAGCGTCAGCCAGTCGGCAGGGAGTGCAGCCTCCATCGTTAGGAGCAGCCACCTAGCACTAGCAGGTAGTATTAATAGTAGTGTTTTTTTTTTCTTTCTACGGGAGTCCCAACAGGCTACTGCCTTATTACTGGTAACCCAAGGTGAAGTTGAACCATATTGATGAACAGTGCAAGAGACTGGGCCTGTCGACATTCAGCTGGAAGATAATTCCATCTGCCTGCTGCCAAAAAAAGAAATATAACTCATGCCACACTGTACAGACAGAACACCTCCTTCCACGACAAGGACCGAAGTCACTGCGTCTCAACTTTGACTACTGAGTACATCGTCAAACACAGTGTCGAATGGAGGTGGAAATTGCAGTTTACGCGGAAACTTTCCTTTTTCGACTTTCTGCATATCTGGTATATTCAGTTAGGTTTCATTTGTTACAGAGTTGGTGCGGAAAAAAAAGAATTAATTTCCGGGCAGCTATTTGTTCCAACTTTCAACATTGTTTGTGTGTCAAAAGCGGATCATGCTCTTTGTTCTTATTATACTTGAGAAACACATCCTTGAATACTGAAAAGAATTTTTCTATCTTTTAAATATTTGAAATGAAAATTTTGCAACTTGTGTTCCCAGGAGCTGATCACTTTGTTGTTGATGTTTTCATTCCCATCTCCCAGGACGCCCACGCTACTGCCACGCCGTCAATATTACCTTTGGCAGCATCTCGTACGACGGTCTCCATGAGATTGACTCCGTGGCATCGCTCACCTGTTTCCACGGTTACGTTGCTGCCGGCGCTTCGACGATGAAGTGCTTGGCGGGGAGTGCGGACGCCGGGCGATGGAGTGAGGACCTGTCCTGCAGAGGTAAGCGTTGGCAAGGTGTAGCCGGCTTTGAATTGCAGAGGGGTGGCTTGGTTAGTTAGTGCATGGGTCTTCAAATCTGCACCGCTCCATTTATGACGTACATCATGGTTCTGTAGGCCCATAAGCCTTATGCACAGTGTGTAGACGTTGAGTGCACCTGATCTCCTCAGCAGTGAACATGTGTTGCAGGCTAAACAGTTGGTCCGGCCATGGCCCGACCAACCCGGACCGGATCCGGCACCTCACGATTTAGCCGCTAACCGAATGTAGTCACTTCATTGGATTACTGAAATTCTTTTGCCCTTTTGCCCTCTAGTCTGTAACACATTGGGCTCGGCTTAAGTTTCCTGATTTCTGCTGCAGCCTCTCCGGAGGCGTGGGTTCAAATCCCACCCCTGCCACCATGTGTAACCTTTGCCAAAGGGTTACAACAATAAAACTTCTTCACTCATCCCCCACGCACAAACTCAAAACAGAAAACGCTCGGTTCAAATGCATACCAACCATTCTCCATGTGGACCGGGGAGACAACGGAGAGTCAAGAAAAATCCAGCACGTCAAAATGTGTGCATGGGCAATACAAGCATATTACGGAGTGCAGATACAGATGAATCATAGTCCAACATGTCCAACATGTTACATCTGCTCTGTTGCTCCCAGCTTTCTGCCCAGCGGGCGACGTGCCCAATGGTGTACTGGCGTATGTTCCGAGAACTCCCCAGGGCACGAAGACGCGGCTCACCTGTCAGCCCGGTCACGAAGCCGTGAACGGCACCGTTCACACGTGTGACGTCTACAACACAACACATTCACACCTGTCCGGCAGGGCAGCCTGCAGAGGTAAGATGTGCATGGATATTGTCTCTCCCGTCTGCATGTCTGGTTCTATTTCTTGTGTGTGTGTCTGGTGGCAGTGAATTGTTTCCGCAGACTTTTCCCATTTCAAGTCACCCAAACATATAGGTATGTCGCAACACGGAGCTTCGTGCTAAATTCAAACATCAGGTGACTTGTGACAAGTTCACCGCAGACCTCTTACTTGCGTTCTCGTCGGTTTGCCTCTCGTGTTCACAGCCATTCCCGGTTTCTGCTCCGAGATGCCCAGAGTCGAGGGTCGATACGTGTACACGGACAACCGGGAGTTCGGAGCGGTCGCCACTCTGATCTGCAAGCCCGGCTACGAGGCAATTGCCGGCGATACATTCTACTGTGGTAACGAGGGAGCGTGGGACAGTATCGGCATCTGTACACGTAAGTCCTGATTAGCCAACTGGTGGCCAGAGTAATGTCGCATACATATTACTGTACAAATCCGTTGATCCCCGAGCTGCAGAGAGTGCTCAATGTCAGAGACAGAGCTTACAAGTCCATTCATCAGAAACAGTCCCTCTGGCTTTTGAAAGTCGGATTTGGGCGGAATACAGGATCAAAAACCCACTTTAAATCTCAAAAATCTGGGTTATGGATCTGCTTCTCCATACATTTTGCCATGGAATACGTGTCCTGATTTTATAAAACCTGGCTGAATTTCTATTTCCCTGTTCTTGGACTTTTCTGGCCTCAAACAAACGGCAAGGAGTAATTGCATGGGTCACACAATGTAGGATGCACTGTTGTTTTCACGGGATCTACAATTATGTGTGGGAGACACCAAAAAGTTAGGGTGCCAGTTTCCAATGAATGGACTGTAGTACATAGCAGACTCAGCGGAGGACGTTCAGGTTGGTTGTAACTCGGAGTTTCATGAGTTGCAACCAACCTGAACGCCCTCCGCTGAGTCTGATACGTACATAGTGCTGGATGTATGTAAGACTTGCATGGAGAGGCAACGATTAAATTTATAAGAAAGGACCAAAATGTTAGTGTTGAACGCAAACTGCGGATCACATGTAACATGTTGGTCCTTGATGTATGTACATGTAGTTCTGTATTTGAATTCACAAGTACACACGGGCTATAGTCCAAATTAGAATGTGAAAGTGAAATGAAATAAGAGGTTTAGCGGGTGGGGGGGGGGGGGAGAGGTCAATACTGGAGCCGGTGTTAGGGGTGGGGTCAACACTGGCCGTCCGTGCGCTCTCATCCCTCGCTCCGTTCCCTCCTTCACTCCATTTGATAAAAACTGTTCGCTCTCCCGTAGGAGAGCGCGGAGAAACGTTACTTCTCCAAACAGGCTACCCAACTAGAATCGTACTTGCATCTCAAAATAAATATCACACTCGTGAAATGCACAGCAATAGTGCACAAAATACGACAATTACAAGCGATCCAATATGTCCTTCCGAGTATGTCCATTTTGTCATTGGAGTGATTTGATCAGATTAAGGGAGCTGGGGGATTGTGCCTTTTAGATCAGATTAGGGGAGCTGGGGGATTGTGCCTTTTAGATCAGATTAGGGGAGCTGGGAGGTTGTGCCTTTTAGATCAGATTAAGAGAGCTGGGGGATTGTGTCTTTTAGATCAGATTTGGGGAGCGGGGGGATTGTGCCTTTTAGATCAGATTAGGAGAGCTGGGGGATTGTACCTTTTTTGATCAGATTAGGGGAGCTGGGGGATTGTGCCTTTTAGATCAGATTAGGGGAGCTGGGGGATTGTGCCTTTTAGATCAGATTAGGGGAGCTGGGAGGTTGTGCCTTTTAGATCAGATTAGGAGAGCTGGAGGATTGTGTCTTTTAGTTCAGATTTGGGGAGCGAGGGGATTGTGCCTTTTAGATCAGATTAGGAGAGCTGGGGGATTGTGCCTTTTAGATCAGATTAGGGGAGCTGGGGGATTGTGCCTTTTAGATCAGATTAGGGGAGCTGGGCGGTTGTGCCTTTTAGATCAGATTAGGAGAGCTGGGGGATTGTGATTGTGCCTTTTAGATCAGATTAGGAGAGCTGAGGGATTGTGCCTTTTTGATCAGATTAGGGGAGCTGGGGGATTGTGCCTTTTAGATCAGATTAGGGGAGCTGGGGGATTGTGCCTTTTAGATCAGATTAGGGGAGCTGGGCGGTTGTGCCTTTTAGATCAGATTAGGAGAGCTGGGGGATTGTGCCTTTTTGATCAGATTTGGGGAGCGGGGGGATTGTGCCTTTTAGATCAGATTAGGGGAGCTGGGGGATCGTGCCTTTTTGATCAGATTAGGGGAGCAGGGGGATCGTGCCTTTTAGATCAGATTAGGGGAGCTGGGGGATCGTGCCTTTTTGATCAGATTAGGGGAGCAGGGGGATCGTGCCTTTTAGATCAGATTAGGGGAGCTGGGGGATCGTGCCTTTTAGATCAGATTGCATAACTAGAGAACCACTGTGACTCACTGCAATAGAACTAACCTTACCTGCTATTTTTCGAAAACTGTTCTAACCCTGCTTTTCTCACCTTCTCCTCAGTGCACCATGCTACTTTTTGTCGCTTGCTTCCAATGCAGTTATTGATAACTATTGCCCGCTGATCAACACCGACGCTGGAAGTGCTCGCTACACTGGCAAACGACGGTTAGGATCCACGGTAGCATTTTCATGTGAGCTTGGTTACAACAACACCGGACCGTTCGAATGCCATCCCGGCAACAAAACAAGCGGGAACTGGTCCGGAAGCCAGGGTTGTCAGCGTAAGTATGTGCAGTGGGTTGCAACGTAGATATACACGGTGACCAGATCCATAATGCAGGTGTGAATACATGCACAAACAACCTTAAAGACACGCACACACATACATACACACACGCACCCACCCACACACACACACACACACACACACACACACACACACACACACACACACACACACACACACACACACACACACACACACACACACACACACACACACACACACACATACACACACACACTGTACTGTACTGTATTGACAGCTACCCTAACGGGTCACGCCGCCCTCCACCCAAGCATGGGTATGATGAGGGGCAGTGGCAACAAAAAAAAAACCAGCAAGCAGAGAGAGAGATAGCAGGAGAAAAACAGCGATAGTAGTACATCTGGTGTGCGACGTATAGAAAAGAGAGATGACAAGAGATACGCACAAAAAGGAAACAATCAACCAGGTGATGGAGTGTGGGCACACACACAAGCACACACACAAGCACACACACACACACACACACACACACACACACACACACACACACACACACACACACACATGCCTCACCTCACCTCCTCACCTCAGACCTGCCCATCGCAGAAGCAATGAAAGCGAACAGCTATGTTAAACATAGCCACTAGGGCACACACACACACACACACACACACACACACACACACACACACACATACACACACGCATGCACGCACGCACGCGCGCGCGTGCGCACACACACACACATTTTGCTCAAATAACACCTTGCGTGCACATGTACTTTGACTTTGGAGTTTTCTGCCCTTGCTCCTTGCTGTTTGCAGTGATCACCGACTTCTGTGCTTTGGAACTGAACAACACCGTCGGCGGTCAGATTGAATACCCGGCAATCAAGTCGTTGGATTCCAAAGCCGTACTGAGTTGTGGCAAAGGATATAAGCTGGAAAACACCCCAGACTACTTGTGCATAGTGGCCGACGACAGCAACAGCACAGGGATCTGGAACGGAACGGGATTATGCGAAGGTTAGTGATGCACGGTTGCTAGGCAGCGGGTGTGTTTGTTCGCCGTGGATACAGGCAAGCATGCATCGGGTGCACGCCTGGGCCTGCAACTGATGCACGATTGCTCTGAAGTACAACAGTGCGCGCAAATAATACGCTTGTTGGACTTGCGTAATGCATGCGTAGTAATCCATGGAGCCGTTTGCCCGTGCATGCTTCGCCGGGAGCTTAGGGAACCAGCCCCACTGCGCTCTGATGTCACATCATCAATCAGTGTATACCTAGTGATACATGCCTGAACTGCCTGTCTGCTCAAGTGTAGTGTTGTCAGTAGATCTATTACAAGTACTGGCACTGGTTGTATTGCGACCAGCCCATGGCTTTCTGCTCAAATCCCCTGACGTCAGTAGATCTATTGCTAGTACCGGCACTGCATGGAGTGCGAACAGTCGATGCCTGTCAGCTCAAACCCCCTGACGTCAGTAGATCTATTGCTAGTGCTGCCACTGGTTGTATTGCGACCAGTCGACGCCTCTCAGCTCAAATCCCCTGACGTCAGTAGGTCTGTTACAAGCACTGGCACTGGTTGTATTGCGACCAGTCCATGGCTGTCTGCTCAAATATCCTGATGTCAGAAGATCCAGTGGTAATTCTGGCACCACATGGAGTGTGACCAGTCTATGTGAAGGGCTCCAATTCAAAACGCGATAAAGACCAACCCAGAACTTTGGCATTTTTTGTCATGAAAGAATTTGTCGGTTTTATGGGTCAAAACGCAATACATCCCAGTCAAAATGATGCCTGAAGTTTGCGCTCTTCTGCAAAACGCGATAAAAGTCATTGATGCTGCAGTGCAGACCGAAAAAGAACAAAATTGAAAAATGCGCTTCCTGAACTTTCAACAAAAGGGATTTATCTCATTTTGAATTGGAGCCCTCCTGCTATGCCCCTGGGGGTGCACCACTTTTCACGGGGGGGGGGGGGGGGGGGGGGGAGGCTCAATCAGAGTAGCAGGGCGCTATGCTCCCTACCTTCCTTTGGCTAGAAGCCTGCATGATGTTCTCCATTGTCCGTGGTACATGTACTAATCTCACATGCATGCAACGTGCACCGTGCTCTCCCCAACTCACTGGCCTGCATGCTCACTACATTCTTATCATGCACTACTTCCCCCATGAACCACGCAAAAGGGGGGGGCATGGGAATCGTTTTAATGTTGACCTTCAGCCACCGCTGCAGCTACAGTCCATTCAGAAAAAGATGAGCGCTGGCTCTGGAGAGCTCCCATGTTTGGCGATTTTGTGGTACACTGTGCAGTGCCGCACGATTCGGAACTTGAAAAAGGGACCAAAAAAGGCACCTCAACTGGGGTTCGAACCGCAAATGTACTGTTATGCAAGTGGAGTGAACGACCTGGATTTTCATGGTTTTTACCCAATTCAGTGCTTTGGGGGCAAAACCTGGCCGAATTCCTATTCTTGTTACGTCTTGCTTTTTCGAGAAATAGACTTCAAAAACACAATTGGAAGAGCTTTCCATGGGGGATTGCCAAAAAAATTGTGACGAAAACTCTAAATTTGACCCGTTTATGGCCAAGAGCGAGGATATCATCTTTTTCTGAATGGACTGTAGTCGAGGAATGTAGGCTGCTAACTTATAATTATGCCCTTGCTAGCTGGTGTATTGTGTATGTGTGTGTACGCGTGTGCGTGTACGCGTGTGCATGTACGCGTGTGCGTGTACGCGTGTTCGTGTGTGTGGGCATGTGTGTGTGTGCGTGTGCGCGTGCGTGCGTGTGTGTGTGTGTGTGTGTGTGTGTGTGTGTGTGTGTGTGTGTGTGTGTGTGTGTGTGTGTGTGTGTGTGCGCACGCACGCACGCACACGTATCTCATATTCTGATATACGCAGTTGACACGCAGGGAACGAATGCCAGGGAGGGCTTCGACATCCTTCTGCCAAGCGTTGCCGCCTCAATCGCTTTCTTCATCTGCTTCTGCATCTCCATGTGGGTTTGGCAGAAGAAAAAGGAAAAGAAAGGCATTACTAAGAAGCACTCGTCACACAATCGTCGCCAAAAATCCAGGAGGCATGCCGACCGCACCACCATGGATAACGACAAGGGCTACGAATTCTGGCCTGGGCAGCAGGCCCAAGGCGGCAAAGCCTACGAGGAAAGCGCACTCACTAGGGGAGGAGAACTGCCGAAGCTTAAAGACGACGACGGTGACGTGGGCGTGCTTGCGAGCTGGTCGCGGCACATGCCGCGAGGCGCCAGGAAACCGTCCACCGCCACTGACTTCATCAACGACTTTGATGGCGAGGAGGATGAGATGGCTGGAGAGTGGATGCTGGGTGGCGACAACGGTCAGCAGCCGGGCTACAGTAACAGTCGCTCCGGCAGCCCGCACAGCTTTACGCAGTCCATGCTGAGCTACCAAGACGCCGCCACGTTTGGAAGCATGATGTCGCTGGACCGGCTTGCGCAGCAGGATAACGTATCGCTCAACCACCACCAGCAGCAACAGCACCAGCACCACCAGCAGCATTACCCGGACAACCTGATGCCGGACGCGCGGATCTCGCGCTCGGGCAACAACAGCGTGCATTCGTCACCGGACCAAGTACGCCGTCACTCGTCTCAGTCCATGAGAGTTGGCAGCAGCAGCGGCAGCAGACAGCACTCAGTGGTGTCACGCAACGCCAGTATCAGGAGCAACGGCAGCAACGTATCGGATGGCAGATACCTGCGTTATGACTCCGAGATGAACAGCATGTACAGCGACGCCGTCGACCAAGATCCGCCACCGCAGCTGCAACGCAACCCCTCAGTTTCGTCTTCCGGCTACTCCAGGACGGTATCAAGCATGCAGTATCCGCACGCCGACCGCATTAGCAGCTTCCACGACTTGAGCCAGGTGGCGCACAGCAACAGCGGTATGCTGCCGGCTCCGGGCGACGGTCCGCAGAGACGCTCCCAACACTCGCGCTCAATGTACGCTAGTCGTGGACAGCAGCAACAGCAGCAGCAGCAACAGCAGCAGCAGCAACGACGACAACAACAACAACAACAACAACAACAACAACAACAACAACAACAACAACAACAACAGCAACAACAACAACTACTACTACTGCAGCAGCACGGGGCAGGCAATGCCTGGGGCAGCCAGGTCTCGGAGTCCACGACTCTCTCGATGCACAGCATGGGTCCCGGCAGTGCGGCGGCGGCCAGTGGCTACAACACACAGGAACCAATAGTACGCGCCAACGGTTACTCCCAGGCGCGGAGAGCCAGTGCACGTTCACATGCCGCCAGCAACCACAGCATGCACCAACAGCAGCATCAACAGCACCAACAATTTCAACCGCAGCACCAAGCGCAACAGGACGAGGACTGTTACGAGCAGCCGATCACCAAGTCCAAAATCTCTCTGGTACACGGTGATGACCGTCAGCAAACAAGCGTCCATGCAGACCCTGCCGCAGCAGCAGAGCCAATTCCGTTTCAACGGGCAGCCAGCATGTACAACAGGTCTAAAGACGTAAAGAGTCACGGGCAAGCTGAGGCGCCTGCAGACCCGTCTAGCATTGGCATGCCCGAGCCGATGAAGCGGACGAGCAGCAAGTTCCGCCGCGTCAAGAATGACCCGGGCACTCAGCTCGATGCAGGCATGACCACACCGAGATTGCCCTCTCCCACACAGCACTCGTCCCAGCTAGATGGCAGCCCATCTGCTGCTTCGCTGACTCCGGGCGAGATACAATGCGCGTCAAAGCACGGTGATTACTCCAATGTCAACAAGTCGAGGAAGAGCAGCACTTCACAGCGGCGCAGACAGACGGAACACGCCGAAGCAGAGACTGCTCCGCCGATACCTACGAAAACAGTGTTTGGCAGCGAGCCACCCCATGGCGAGGCTATCCTCAGACCAGTCGCCAGTTCCGGAGCCCAACAACAGATCGCCGGGGACGACCGAATGCCAGCGCCTCTGCCAAGGACCCGGGCGTCGCTACGGAGACCGAAGGACACTACACAGAGCGGGCTTCGGGCATCCGGTCTAGATCGGGCCCGCAGTATGCGCTCCTAAGTGCTAATCCCAGGGTGGCAGACAGGGACAACTTGGCTTGCTACTCGCCACAGGTTGAAGTCGCAGTCCTTGGGACCCAGGAATAATTCCCACAGTGGACTATCATCCGGGCATCGCTGTGTATGAGGGCCGGCGTTCCATGCCTCCTCACCGATGCATGACCCGACTACAACTTGTGGTGTGTGTGCAGCAAGACGTTGCCAGGCCGTTGAATGCCGGTTGTGCTGTACACAACAGGGTGCTCAATCCCCTACGTACCGCATAGCACGTCACGCGTGGGGTCAAGCTTGTTCCTCTCAACGCATCCTCTTCAAGAGTAGATAGGCAATCATCACTCAGAATCTTTCTTTTTCGTGCACATGCACCACCACTACGCATGAACGCACATCTTCATGCTTGCTCACTGGAAACACAGAGAGCATGTTCGCACAAATTGTTGCATGGATAAAGCGTGTCGCACGCAAACCAACCCCACCACCTGCATAGTCTCGCAGTTCTCAAGAACTCCGAAACTATGTGCCTCACCATCTTCTTCAGAACCCCCCTCCCCCAACGTTTCTATTTAATGTTCTGCTCCTCCTCCTAATTCAAAGCCAAGGACACTGTTACCGGCAGCTTTGTCTCCGGAGGACTCAGGTTAGATTCGCGAACGTTGACCTTGAAACTTCATATCATGTGCATCGAGTGTGCAGAACAGACAACTTCGTTCTTGAATACTCCGCATCAACTATCAATAGTTTAGGAGACATATTAATGGGTTCCCCCCCCCCCCCCCCCCCGCTTGTTAGGATCTGAACACAGCACCAAATCACACTCTGCATTTTCTCTTCCCACTCATTATCTACTGAATTGCTTTCTTTAGTGCCAGAGAACGTATACTTAGAGTGCAATAGGAGGGCACGGTTGACAGACTCCACTCTTCAATTGTATGCGCCTCCTGCTTGCGCCCAAACTTTGTTTACTCTCCGTGAAGTTACTCCACCCTCCGTTTTCATATTCTTGTAGGGCTCTCTACAGATTTCTACTTGAGTATAACAATTAGATAGATTGGCTAGTTTTCTGTATTCATCGTATAGCTATCTACTAGATTCGAATCTTCAGTTGAATGCGCCTCCAGCTAGCGCCCAAACTTTGTTAGCTCTCCATGATTTCTCCCTCCATGTTCATATCGTTCTAGGGCTCTCTACAGATTTCTATAACAATTAGATAGATAGGTTAGTTCGCTGTGTTCATCGTAGCTATCTGCTATAAGCCTCAAGCCGCTCACAGTGTGTTTTTCTATTTGCACGATCAGTCCCCTGCTAGATCATTGCCCACTATGGGTAGAATTCGCTACTAAATCATTGCCCACTATGAGTAGAGCCCCCTGCTAGATCATTGTCCACTGTGAGTAGAACCCCCTGCTAGATCATTGCCCACTATGAGTAGAACCCCCTGCTAGATCATTGCCCACTATGAGTAGAACCCCCTGCTAGATCATTTCCCACTGTGGGTAAAATGGCAATGTTGGCACGGGATAGACGCTCCACTTGCTGTGTATTCCGGCGGTGAGCAGCCTCCACAGTCGCGCTGGCCACTTAGCTGCGTGTACCCCCCCCCCCCCCTAGTGGCATTTGCTTATTTCCTCCCGCTCCCCCTGCCTCCCCTCTCCTCCCCTCCCCTTCCCCTGCTCTCTCTCTCTCTCGCTCCCCCTGCACACACACACTCATTCACCGGCATTGCACAATGTACATGCGATAGTATTCAGCCATTGGTCATCCCCATCAATGAAGCACACACCACTTTCTCTATATAATTGCTCTCCCTGCAATGTAGAGCTAGTTGCGGTTCACTGTGTTCTGGATCAAAATTGCTACGAGAAAAATTTCACGGGCACTAACATCTTTGTTTGCTCTGTGGTGGTTGTGATTGCGCCGGGTGGTGGCGGCGGCTGCGATGGTTGTGGGTTTGCGCACTACAAGTTCGCGACTTGCATGCTTTCTGCACCGTGACTGCATGCTGGTATGTCGGTATCCGGAATTGCATGGACGTGAGTTTATGTTCACAAGTGTAACTGTGTAAAGTGCCCAACAAGCTGCCTCTTTTGGTCAACGACAATGGAATGGCGCCATTCATTACTTTTTGCACACAAGACATTGCCCGCACAACAGGGTTGACTTCCAACCAGGCAGTAGTTCATATTTTACAACTCCATGCTTCTAGCAGCTCAGGAACGGAAGTGCTTTCGTACAGTTTGCATATCTGCCAACCATCCCGACGATTTGGCCGCCGGGGCCGCCCAGATATCGAGGGTGGTAATAGGCACCGAAAAGTGCTTTGGCCGCATGCCTCACAGCTCCGATAGTGAGGAAAATGTTATCAACTCCAAAGCACGAAAAAGGCCAAAAACTAAACCAAGAACATATGCAAATTTTTTTTTTTTTATTTTTTTTACTAAGTACACAACCTACTCGTCAGAAGGGGAGAAGACAACAGAGTATACAATGACAAAACAGCAGGGAGAGTAGGGGCTGCAAAGCAAGCCTGTGCTGGTGAGGCAAGCCCACAACACCGACCTATGGTCTCGGCGTTAACGTGAGCTTGCGCACCATAGCCTAAAAGAGGGGGTGATTTAGTGCGATAAAGACAAGAGAAGGTGAGGTAGAATGGATGAGGAGAAAGAAAGAGAGAGAGAGAGGGGGGGGGGGTGGAGAAAGAGAGAGAGAGAGAGAGAGAGAGAGAGAGAGTGAGAGTGAGTGAGAGAGAGAGAGGGGGGGGGGGGGGGGGTGGAGAGAGAACAAGAAGAGAGAAAAATAGATTCAAAGGCAGTTCAGATGCAGTGAACATCATGCAATGCTTGGGGGGGGGGGAGCTTCAGGATGGAAATAGTTCTGAACTGTTAGAGGGAGTCTGTGGCCCAAAGCCACTGGCTTCGGCGAAGATGGTAGTGGACGTTCGCTTTGAAGGATTGTAGGCCCTTAGGAGATGGTGGTTTGGTGAAGAGGGAGGATGGCAGCGCATTCCAGGTGTTGATGATGTTGTATGGAAAGGCGCGTCTTAGGTAGTTAGGAGCGCCTGGAGGGAGAACATTTTCCAGTTGGAAGGGGCGTGAAGCAGACTGTTGGCATTGTCTCCGGGTTACAGGTGCGGCATGGTGGACGACGAGAGGGGGGACCATGGATCTCAGCAGAGGAGGACCTGGTTGGCCCAGCAGCTTGTAGACGAAAGTCAGTGCCGCCACTGTCCGTCGGGTCTCTAGGCTCTGTAGCAAGATGTTGGGTCCCAGGATGTGGAGGGCACGCCTCTGCACTCTGTTAAGGTGTTCAAGGTTAGTGAGAGCAGCTCCCATCCAGACAAGGGGAGCGTACTCGAGCAGGGGCCGGACGAAGCCGTGATACACGGCCAGCATGCCACGGCAGTCCAGAACACGAGCAGCTCTACGTAGGAGGCCAAGACGTGAGTTTGCCCTGGCAGCAACTGACCGGAGATGGGCGGAAAAGGATAGCTTGGAGTCAACCATAACTCCGAGGAGCTTGAGGTGTGGCTGTTGTGGGATGACCTCCCCTCCAAAGTTTATTGCGGGGACAGGCCAAGGCTGCTGTCGATGGCAGGAGATTCGTAGGAGCTGCGACTTGGATGGTTCAAACTTAACATGCCACTTTGTTCCCCATGCATGTAACGCATTAACGGAAGCTTGAAGACTGTCAGCTTGGTGTATGGCATCATCGCGTGTATTGACGCAGGCATACAGCGTGGTGTCGTCTGCAAATGTTCCCATTTCAGACCCTGGAGCCAGACAGCTATCAGCATCATTTACATATACTAGGAACAAGGACGGTCCAAGGATGCTGCCTTGTGGTACTCCTGCAGAGATCGGATAGCGATCGGAGCTCTTGCCGCCGATGACCACTTCCAGCGAACGACCTGTTAAGTAATCTCTAAGCCAGTCCAGGAGGGGCCCTTCACACCGATGTTCCGCAACTTGTGCAGTACACCTGTGTGGGAGACTTTGTCAAAAGCCCCGGCGATGTCGACAGCAAGCACCTCCACAGATCCACCCAGGCCAGATGTGGCCGACCACTTGTGGTGTAGTCCCGTAAGTAGATCGGATGGACCTAGGCCTCGGCGAAAGCCAAATTGCCTTGGTGATAGGAGCAATAACATGTTATTTATAAAGACAGGACAAGTGAATAATTAGTCAGTCCATTGTTCATGATGATCTCCGACGGTTACGTCGGCAAGCGAGCCTCCGCCACTGCCAAAGCAGCGTGGGCTCCGCAGGAGGGTGCAAATTTCAAACCAAAATTTAAACGCCTACAACCGCGAATGCACATGATACAGGATTTCAGAAGGCTGAAGGAAATCCTGCATCTAACAAATGCCATAACATGAGAGTAATGCTCACCCCTCTTCTCCGCCAACAGATGAGCAATTCGTTTGTACAGTGCTGTTGATGCTGGACCCATTCCGCCACTGGCTGACATGACCGCCGGAACAAAGGAGGCTTGCTCAACCTGCCTCACCCGCTCCTCATAGTGCCTTCTCTTTTCTTTTTCATGTCGCTGATACACAATAGTATGTGGTGCAGATCGATTTGAGCGTGAGTGAGGATTAAAAACCCGTATATCAATAAGTGTACGCTCAAAACGACTGCCCCACAAACCATTGGCAGCGACATCCAACCGGGCACGGTCTTCCACATTTGCGGTCCGGTAGCGAAGACGCTCCCCCGTCAGCGGTTGCAGCAAGGGCTCGATGGACACACTGGTGCACACCTCGTCCAGCAGCCGGGCCGTGACGTCCCGAATACCATTGTGTCTAATGGAGGGAAACTCTCCATAGGGGCACGACAGGGAATGCGCGACAGTTGCCTCTTGGCCGCAAGAGCAGTGTGACGGTACCCTGGCCGGTGTCCATCCGTAACGGAGGCAGAGTCCGTCCCAAAACTCTCCCTTTGTTAAACGAGAGAGCTTGGAAGCTCAGGGCCCTACGCTATGCTTCTATGCTTTTTTTTGCCTAGCTCATCGTACATGTTATAATAACTGATGGAAATGTTTTTTTTCCGTTGATTGGCCACATCATTGTATTGCAAAAACGTTTCAATCAGTTTGAATATTATGAGTTAGGCAAAAGTATTTGCAGAATTTATTGCGGATGGTCATTTCTCTATTATCATATACTTTTGATTTGCTCCTTCTTTTCTTTTTATCTCCTTATACTGTAAATCAAGAAATTTTGGCTGATTAGAAACTTTGGCCGATCTCGAAACGAAACTTTTCGCCGTCATTAAACTTTGGCCGATTTGAGTTTTCAAAAAGAAATCGATCGGTATTTTTTGCTCTCACATGCATCCATTGCTCAATCATGCATCATTTGCCTCTATGACAAACTTTGGCCTGCGATTTACTTTGGCCGGTTGGTACCAAGCGGCGAAATCAGCGAAATTAAATCACCAGCGAAAATTAGTTGATTTTAATACAGTAGAAAGGAAAAGGACATAATGGAAACGAGTTAAGAGTAACTCTCCACCACTGTAACTAGATACTATATACAGTCA